GTATCATATACCCATGAAAACCTTCTAATTTTTTTTTATTGCCTTGGGGACCATGATTCAATGAAATATTTATTTATACCGTTTCATCATATGTTGAAACAGTGTTAAAGGTTCACCCTCTCTCATTCGCCTTCCTCTATCTCGCCCATCCTCCTCTTGCATCCCGATTTTTTAAAATATATATTAAAAATACCTATTTTATGAAAATATTTTTAAAATGATCATTTTATCCCATTCCTCATTTAGTACCAATATGTCCAGGACCAGGATGTCCAGGATTGGATAGACAATATAAGTAAAAGAGCAAACATAGGAAATTATTCCAATACTACGCTAGCCAAAACGGAAGGGAACATTCGCTAATCTCCTTCAATCTGAAGGAGAGCGGGAACATGGCCTTGTGAACGGCTTGGATCGCATGGTGACGGGATCGCTACCTCCGGCGGACATCGAAAATGGCATAAAATTCGACCGCGTACACAAGGCCATAGGTTGGACCCATCCTCCAACTCCTCCGAGTATAAAGGAAAAGGATTCAAGGTGAAGCGGCATCGCTCCAGGGTGGGTATGAGCGGTTTTGCTCCATCGGAGAGGTGCCCACCTGGCTCCTGGTTTTCTTGTCCAGACAGGAAAAAAAATATCCGAGGACGATCTTCCCTTTTATTTCATCATAGCGTTCAAAAGTTGGGGAGGACTTTGACTCACAATGTAGATTGGATCTAGCCTCTGGAGGAATTACCTATGAGCAGTTTAAAGGTTTAGGGTCACTCCTAGGATTTAGGCAAATTTGAAATATACAGGGAAAGCATTACAGCGATATTTATTAAATCCCCCCCTCTCCTTTTAATAGTGCCACATGCCATGCAACTCGAACGAAAGATTCCAATTTTTAGTTCATTCATACTCATTCAAAAACTCGGAGGCGTGCGCTTGCCGATATTCTAGTAACACATGTGGAAAAAGCAAGGACCAAGGAGCCGTGAGAGATTATGCTTGCTAAAGAGCGTCTCTTGCTTCCTACACTCGCCTCTTGCATGCAGGACAGGCTGGTGCGAAAACAAGGAGGGTTTCACGCGCATTCACGCTCCCTCTCACGCGCGTTCACCATCCATGCACATAAGTGCCGAGATCAAGGAGGGTTTGTATATATGCGTCCCTTGCCAATCCGGGTATGAGAGGCCTGCACGGGTCGTTTTTTCGAGCCCGACCCGTTCGGCCTGATTCGAAGAATGGCCACCGCACGACCTGAAACTGGATCACCGACCGAACTCTAAGGGCCCAACTATCAGATCGCCCATAATCCGCTTAGGCCTCTAAGCTCGAGAACTCCCTGGTCCCCAATGAAGGGTTCGCCATCCTCCGACCGGAACCTAGATTGCCAATCTAACTACACGCCCTATCCATGGGTCAGGTAGAATCGATCGAACCATACCATTTCCCATTTTTCGTCCGTTACTCGTTCGTTCGAAATTCCAAGGAAGGGTCTCTCTCGAATGGAAGTTCCCTCCTGACGGAACGCATTCTCTATTTCCAATTCAAAGCAGGACTGCGAGAAATGCGAACATAGCAACTTGGCAACTCCCAAGCCCAGCACGTCTTCGCTGTGAAACAATTTCCTTGTGAAAAGTGAATGCAAACACCGTTGCAAAGTAAATGTCCTCAATCATCAAATATGCATAAATGTATATAAATTAATAATTATGAAGCTGCCACCTGGGTGGCTTTTCCCCGCTTTGTCAAATCTGGGGATCTTTTTTTCCGGGTGGCTTCTTTCGAACCCAGAATAAAAGTGCTATGGATATAGGCATCAGACTCCAGAAAGAGTCACCACACCGTCATATAGAAATTTAGTCGGAACTTTTTCATCAGGCCACGTATTTCCCTCACTGATCTCTTTTCTTGCTCTGGTATGAATTTAAGGGATCGTCCAGTCTGCTGCATTTCTACCACTCTTTTCTTCTATTTTTGGGGAGCAGGGGGGGGGGAGAATGACGTATTTATTTTAAGGAATTTCTCATGGAAGTGTGAACTGGGCTTCATGACCCTGTATTTTCACCTTCAGAAATCTGGGAAATCTTTCTTTCAGAGCTGACGAACCCATAGACGCGGAATTCTGTGGCTTAGAGATTTAATTGGGCTGCGGGTCGGCCCGATCGGGTCGGGTAGGACCACGATTCGTATCGGACCAATCAGGTCTGGTTCGGAAAAGTCCACCCGTGCAGGCCTCCGGCAATCAGACGGAGGACATCGGTTATTAAATAGATTTTCCATATCCTCCCTTCGTTGATGACTTGATGGTTGATTTCAGCTTTGTGTTCGGTCGTAATCCAGTTAAAGTTAGATCACCCGAGCTGCTGATTGTGCGAAGCTGCAAGGGCAGTCATCTTCACACTCTTCACGCTTATTTTTCGCTGATTTTATGAAGAAGCTCAACTTAATGCTTTTTCAAACTCTTCCACTAAGGACCAGGACTAGTATAAGAATGTCAAAATCCCAGTCTCATCTAAGTTCAGTCATCGTCTTTCTTGGCTGAAACTAGAACGCAACGGGGACAATGAAAGATTGCAGTTCAACCTCAACTGACTTACGACGGGCACAAAGCTGAAATCAGTCATTGAGTCATGAAGAGGGGAGGATATAGGAAACTTTAAAATAATAAGATAGCCTGAGCCAGATTGACAGGCGGAGGTGGGCGAAGGGGGGCTTATGGAGGGAGGGAGGGGGAGAGGGGGAGTATGTATGAAGACAAGGATCGTGGGCAGCAAAAGGGGCAAGTAAGGAAAATACGTAAGGAAGACACTGCTCTAACAGAATTACGGATGAATTTTTAATACGTTGCTTGACAAGCGAGTTATTCCGTCTGAACATGTAGCATTCCCGCCCAGTCAACCATCGAATCATCCGCCGGCACTCCTTTGAAAAGATATTCCGAGCCGGAATCTGAATGGAATTTGATCATTAATATTTCGACACAATCAGAAGACATTGCTCTAACAGAATTACAGATGAATTTTTGATACCCTGCTTGGCAAGCGAGTAATTATGTGCTAACTTGCAATTATTGCAATTCGAATGAAGAGTCTTACTTGAATGTTAAGAAACGGAAATCGCTGAATTTGCATGAAACTTTGTATGTAGCCAATTGGGGATTTTTTCATGACCAAACATACCACTTCTTTCTAATTCAAGGCATGGCTGATCGAAATTCGAACATTAGGCACCTTAAGCGATTCACTGAAGCGTCCTAAGGAGCATCCTACATTTTAGATCAGTCAGATCTATCGATTTATTATAATTATCTTATCACTTGATGTTAAATGTTTAAGGCAGTGACCATTTTGTCCTGGAGTCTGAGAGGCAATAGAAAAGAAAGTGCAAAGGGAGGAAAAAGAGTCTTATTCCACGCTAGCCGAAGNTTTACCGTCTGGTTTCGTGTTTCTCCTTCCCCCCCTGTCTAGACCAGAATTCCTCGAGGGGAAATGCTTACCCTATGCTCATCATATCCGTGAGGGAGGTTCCTTTCTAGCACAAGGGCTCAGAATCCGAATTCCGCATGAGACTCACCCTCCCGATGATCTAAATTGTATAGCTTTTTTGCGAAATCAATCTGTGACGGAAATGGCAGCCTAATAACCACAATTGAAAATTTGACATTTCTCAATAAAACGTATGTTTCACCTTTGACCTATGCAGCAAGGCCGTATTGTTGGGATTTAACTCAAAGAGCAATGTGTCATCTGGACGAAACCGTTGATATCACATCCCTGAAATAAAGGGTTTCGGATTTATGACCGTTTCAGTTTAACCCAGTAAATGACCATCTGGCGGTAGCTTCAAGAACTAATTACAGCTAAAATGCTGGTCGGAGGTCACTGTGAGACCCCTCCTATTTGACCTCTAGGATAAATTTATTTTCTGTCTGTCAGGGGGAAAAATTAATTTCTGACAAATTCTCCTTGATCAACCTCTCTTCAGTCATGAGAACGGGAAGGAATCGATGTTCGATCTAATTCCATTACAGAAAAGAAAAAATCAGAAAAAGTATTTAAAATAATATTTTGATAGGTGTTCACTGGGCAAAATGATCTAATCTTCATTCCATACTCGCGTTCGAAATTCGAATGAAGAGTCTTACTTGAATGTTAAGAAACGGAAATCGCTGAACTTGCATGAAACTTTGTATGTAGCGAATTGGGGATTTTTTCATGACCAAACATACCACTTCTTTCTAATACAAGCCATGGCTGCTCGAAATTCGAACATTAGGCATCTTCAGCGATTCACTGAAGCGTCCTAATGAGCATCCTATATTTTAGATCAGTCAAATCTATCGAATTATTATAATTATCTTATCACTTGATGTTAAATGTTTAATGCAGTGACCATTTTGTCCTGGAGTCTGACAGGCAATAGAAAGGAAAGTGCAAAGGGAGGAAAAAGAGTATTATTCCACGCTAGCCGAAGGGAAGGGAACCTTTGCTAATCCCCTGAGGGAGGGTCTGGGGCCACAGTCCCCTGGCGGACTCAGAAATGGGGCTTCAGATTCGACCGCGTATATACACGCGGCGAAGGTTAAGATCCAGTATGACCCCTTTTCCTCCGCTTCTCGGAGTAAGAAAGAGGGGGATTGAAGGTGGAGCAGATTGACCCGCCATAGCTCCGAGGTAGATGTAGACATTACTGGTTTTCCGCCACCGGAGGGGAGCCACTTCAGAAGTTTTCTTGTGAAGGAGGGAGGGGGAAGTATATCACACGACTATCTTCCCTTTCAACTCCGTCTCCCTTCGTTCCAGATTGCATGTCTGCACAGATGCCTGAAAATAAAATATATTTCCTCTATGCCATTCTTCTCTGCCATCGTCATGCCGTCATGGATTGAAAAAGGAATTCTTTCAGAACGATATTTCCAATGGCGCATGGCGTGATGGCGTTGTTCTACAGAGTGCTTGGGTTGATCCCCACAACGTAATTCCGGTACGTCCTGTAATCACAGGTAATTAATGGGTTAATCGACTCTGAGTAAATTTCATTCGCATAAAAGGCATGGAATCAATATTCGTTTTTAGGTATGTTAAAAATAAATATTTTTGTCTGTCTGTTTCTGTTGAGCCTGATGAGAAAAAACGTTCACTATTTCAAGTGTGAGAAAAGAAACTAGGAAATAGAGCTCCGCATTCAGGCCTCCTTTACTCATTTTCCTTGTCCTTTCCCGAGCTAGTAAGGACCCCAACTCCTCCAGGCAGTATTGTGAAGTCGTGTCAGAATGAAGCCGTTCTCTCTATTTTGAGGGAAAAAGAGAAAAACCGGTTCCCCTTCCCTCTCTTCTCTGAATTCATGAAAAGGCTGAAGCACACTCAGTATACCCTAGCCAAAGGAAGGGCTTACTTTCCCATTCAGAGTGTCAGAGCAAAGGCGAAACAGGAGTAGTGACTTTAGGATTAGGCATGGGTTCCCGTTCGTGTCGCATGGACCATGTCCATCGGTTGCCATGTTCTGGAATGGATTCAGGTGAGGACGAAAGTGTACTTAACCCTGTTATTCCCAAGCAGAATCATATCCCATAATGAATGTATTATTAATATTGCTACTCATTATTACTACTAATTATGATTAACATTACATATTATTAGTGTCACTACTTTCAGACTAAGTCACAGAAAAGGTGAAGAAAATTTTTTTCCTTCAAATTTCGGGACGCGCCGCGGACCGGATGGAATGTCACCACAAGCGGTAGGTTGGGCACCCCTGATGTAGATGGACCCTCAATGCTGAAAGGGGCGTCCTTCCAGCGCAGGGAGCGGGGGAGGAGCTTCCCTTCTTCACCTTTCATGGTCACAACCAAGCAGTTCCCCTTCAGTCTGTGATCGTGAAGCTGCATTAGTGCATCGTCTCAAAACACACCAGACGCATTTCCTTCCTTGTCAAGTTTCAGCTTTATTTGCTCAACTTGTGGTCTCGGGCTTCTTTGGCTCCAGTCATAACCTGCATTCTTCACTCCTGTCTCTTCCGTTTCATTTCCTTTTCCTCCTATCTCTCCTTCCCATATTCATATTTTAAAAGTATTTGGTGTCCTGCTTTCATTCATATTATTTCCATTGTCTTTCTTTCAGTTTTTTTTTTTACTTTTTAAAGTAATTTCAGTTATTCAATTTTACTATACCCGAATTTCCCTACTGATTACTTTTTTTCCCATTTCGAGAGCATCCGTTTCGAGAGCCCAGTCCAGTGATGACAGAAAGGTCTCCTTCAACACCTCGTCCCAATGACTCACCTGGGGACCATCCTGCTTCGTCTGCGCGTAAGTTCGACTAATTCAGTTCGTCTGATACTCGTTGTTTCAAAATTAATTACGATGGTTTTATTTTCATTAGCAAAGCAGAGCTTTAGTCATTTTTAGTTTATCACTAAAGAATTAAGTTTTCATCAATTTCTACATATTTAAAATTTCCAAGAAATTTCTTCCCAGCAAGAAAGTGACTGCAACTGTCGAACAAACTCCCATTGCTTGCATTGCTTGCCCACTGCTTGTAAAATTCCACATAAAAATATGACTCCTATATCATTCGAAAGAGCATTCAAAGATCTATATGACGACGTGAGTTTCGTTGTTAGTCAGGTATCGAAATGTTATGATTTTTCGAATAGTGCTAGGTTGTGGCATTGGTTCTATTCAATATTGCCTTTGGTAAAAACTTGCTCGACTGCTTCATTTATATTATATTAATTTTTTTTTATGGCATTGATATTCCATTCCACATTATAATATCTTATGTTCCTGCGCAGAGTGTGCAGTTTTCAGTTTCAACAAGAAGTGGATATACTTCCAAGCCAGAAGCAGGAGTATCATCGTCATGGTCAGCGAAAATAAGCAAGACCGAGGACGCCCTTTGAAGACCAAAGGGAACAAGGAAGAATATCCCGGCATCATATCTGCAAAACCCCACGAGAATCCATGCAATGTTGAGGTAAGGTCCTCTGCACTCCACAGTAGTGTGTCCTTTCAGTGTAATAGATAGCTGACCGCTTTCTTTTTCGGAGAAAGCGCGAACTTCTTTTAAGAGTCTGAAAAGGGCGTTGGCCCCTTTGCTTATTGCTTCAAAAGAAGTGTTATATACAGTACAGACTGCCCACAACGTCTCGGGTGGTTTTAAAAAGTGCATAACCTAACGATTACATCAAATTAGACTACAGCCAAAATAGGTGCAATTTATTGAAATATTTGCTAATTTTGGGGGTATAAATTACTCTCATTTCATACGATTCTCGCCAAATGTCAATAATTGGCATTATCAGCCACGGCGTGTTATAGGTTTGATTTCTTGCGCAGGCTGCAATTTGTAGGCCTGGAGAAGGAGACGTTTACGAAGCGCCTAATGTCGAACTTTGTATCCGCAATTGGAGGCGGCAACGTTGGATAGGTTTTTTGGGGGGTTACCTGTAAAGTATTCACAAATGTTCATAACATTCCGAGGTTCTTGATCTTCCAGACCTATCTCTGTTTTTAACACTTCCTGTTTCCTTGAACATTTAATGCATCTTTTAATTCAATTTACATTCGGAGACTGCCTATTGTAAAGTGAAATTCATGACCAACGCTAGTAAATGATTCAAATTTCCCGAAACAAGAGAAACTGTCTTTTCTTGGAGAGACGCCATGTCTGAAAAGGATAGCTAATGATACCTGGTGACGAAGGAGTGAAAAGTATCAAACTTTCACCGACAAAAATATCAAAAACTTCGATAGATTGCATTTCTTTTGGCTGACGTAGGTTTTAATTTGAGGTTAAAAAGTTCTTTTCTAAGTACTATTTGGAATTTTGTGGACACCCTGCATGAGAAAAGGAGCATGTATTTTACTCATTCTTTGGCCGAGCTACTCTGTTTTTACTCCCTCTGAGGAAAAAGAAAAGGTTTTTTTGAATAAAAAAAAATCTCACCCATTTCCTTTATCTAGTTGGAGTTTCACGGCAGGAAGGACACCGTGGCATTCCCTATCACACGGATCTGTACCAAGACCAAGCTCACATCTGCCATCATGAGGGGTTATCAAAAGGAGAGGACAGTATCGCGTTTGGTGCTTCCCTAGTTGAACTACCAAAGCTTGTAATCTCTACCTTTGGTCAAACATAAGGGAAGAAATTAAAAAGGGTAAAACGACGTTCGTACAGGACGGGCGTACCTCTAATAGAGTACCATTGATACCTTCAATTTAATTCTCATCTGCAGGATCGACGCCATCACCAACCCAGGCCCAAGTGCCGCAAGATGCAGAAGCCTTTGTCCTAGTCGTGACGTCAGCTGACTTCTAGTGTACTCTTAACGTGCCTTCTCCATAAGCGACGGTCTCTCGTGGGTTGTGGTCCACTTCTTTTCCTCCTTCATACCAGGTGAAGCAATCCTGAGTCCTACAATGCTGGCAAAGTGCTATTTTGGTGAGTAATTGAAGTTCAGTACATTTCAGACTTCTCAAGTTACTTTGTTCTATTGATCTGGAAGCAGAAATAAAAAAAGAAAAGTAGTTATATGCCAAAATGTCCAAAAGCGCATAGTCTGTTCAGTGCTCATACAACCTTTTTTCACAATATAAAGCGGTTGTTTTCTTTTAAATATAATTTAGATGAACTTGTCTCTCTGTTCATGCCACTTTTCAATTATAAGAGGGACAGTAGTATATTCACTCCGTGTGAAGATCGAGGGAAGATTTTTTTGCAGGTGGATCACTCTTTTTAAACCTTTCTTCTAGATAAGAATGTAGGCAATCAGGAACTTGAGAATTTTTTCTCATGAGATGGTCTTTTACTTCCTGCTGTGGGATGTTAATTTCATTCTATAGCGTGACTTATTCTGTTTAAGTGCAGTAGCCAGCCTTTTCACGAACACACTTGGACACTAGCAAATATCGAAAAAATTAAGAGTAAAATCCACAGGTACTCTAGGGGAACCGTTTACACCTCGGGTCGGGGCGGCGAAGCTCCTCATTCTCACAAGACATCAAAGCCATCCTCAAAAGAAAGTTATCCTCAGGAGAGGATATGGGGGGACAGGTTCCTATTGTCATCGCGTCTCACGACTTCCAGGGGACATTCATTCCCGCCAACGTAAGGAATCAAACCAATGCACGGTCGTAAAACATTTTTATTTTTACATTGCGGAATCGTGGAACCCTTTATTCCTTTACTGTTATAATCACAACGAAGTAGTATTTCCTTAAAAGTTTATTACATTCAAAACCCTGAATGTTCAACTTCATTATTTGCCCTTCTACTTCTTTCCTTATTCTTTTTCTCATTCAATTGCTTTCGCCTCAACACTCAAGGTTAATTTAATGTAATCAGAAAATGAGTTTACTCCTTAATATTCCGCCTGGAACGTCAGTTTTTTTTGTTTGATTCGTTGCTCCATTACGATGTGCATACATCGTAGAGCATGGAGTACGTGCAATAACTACTCTCCAGGCTTCTTTCCCGCTATTTTCAGCCTTAACAATTTGGTATCGGCAGGGCCGGATTAAGAAGTTGTGAGACCTGGATTGGATTCTTTACCCCTCTCCTCCCCTCGCTGCTATACGCAAATGCCTTACGATTTGAATTTCCTTCGGATCCCCATGGAAAATGGAGCCTGGGGCAACAGCCCCCTTTGCCCTTCCCCCCCTCCCTTAATCCGACCCAGGGTATCGCCAACACCGCCAATAAAATTTGTGAAACTTTATCTAAGGATCCTCCACACTACTAAGTGCGCCTCCTCTTACTCTATCATATTCACCACCAAAAACTGACAGGGAAAACACGAAATTTTTGTTTATTGGAATTGTTGAATACTCTCTCTTTCCTAGATCTTGCCTCTTTTCATTGGTTGCTCGAACGCTGAGGCACCGGTTTTTTAATACATTTTTTCGCCCTTAAGTAGGGTTTACTTAGGTGTATTGTACATGAATCAAGGTATTTGTGAATTATTTTCCAAGAGGCATGCATACCATTATGAAGTGGTAGCTGGCCAACATGTCCTAATAGCACGGAAGGAGCTCCATGAGGAGGCAGAACATGGGAAAGACAGCTGTGTATGTGCTATCTACATGGGAGTCGACGAAGTGGAGAAAAGGATCCTGGCCCTCCACAACGCCAAGCTTGAAGGAGTTCCCTATGATGTACTTGATGTTGTAAGATGTCA